AAATAATACGAAAAATCATACTAAAATATTGTCTTCAAAACGACATATATTGTTTACATAGCACGTAAGTACTGCAGACTTCTTTAATAGACTTTTTTAATGTACGGAAATGGAATGGTAACCCAGCCTACCTTATCGGTACACGTTAGCGAGAGATAGTAGGTGAGGATACAACCAGGTCGATTAGCCCATAGTGATGAAATTCCATAAAAATTAATCACGATGGTTGAAAAGGGCAATCGCGTGGAGGTCGATCTGATAAGATATATTGCTAGCAATAGGGCCTTTTTTACCTTAAAACATACTTATTGAAATGAATTTGTTGGCCGTCTAGTCCCGTCATAGAATAGCCCACCCATTCCTTTGTCGTGGGTGTCGTAAGAAACGAGTAAGGGAGGGCGAGGAATGGCCAGCAGCGTCCCCCTAAAACTTACTAAAGACTAACTGCAGTTACCAATCAGCCTGCCAAGCGTGGTAACTACTCGCAAAACCCCTAAGGGGAGGGTTATATTCAGCAGTGGGTATTTAAACAAAAACTGTTGAATGAATTTGAATGAAATTTGGTATAAGGATATATTATATAAGACAGAGATACATATATAAGAAAGAGAGAGAGAGATAACCAAACAGGAGGAGACAGTTATGAGAGAGGACCAAACCGCCAGATACAGCTATTGTATGTTATAAGTACAAAATCAACGTGCCTACTATTAATACGAAATTTATTAAAAGTATTTCTCTTCCTGCTGTAACCAGTGAAGTCGTTAAACAAATGTTGTATCAAGGGCACGCGTTTCAATATCAGTTTATACGCGGTACTTAAATGTATGTTGGCGCCGGTATTGCAATAAAATGAGTTTATTTAAGGATGTTCAATATGAGAATGTATTTATTTTAAAAAATAGATAAAATAATGTTCCCAGTTCCACTTCGCCGTTAGTAGCATATTTTTTCTCTTCTTTATTCTAGCCTTTACAACCCTAATACTTCTTATTGGGGGGAAAGGGATTGTTAGTAATGGAGACTGAAAATCCCATTGCTAGCAATATACCCAAGCAGGTCGAAATCCTCGTGGTTCCCCCTGGAAACTATCATGGTTAATTCCTGATGAATTCATCATGATGGGCTAACTGGCCTGTTATCATTCTCATCTGTGATCCGCCAGCGTATCCCATTAGCGCAGGCGGAGTTAACGATACCATACCATTTTCACCCATAAAAATAATACTCCTTATTACTTCAAAAAACGATTTGTATTTCTTGGTGATGTGCAGAATAAAGATTTACGCAGTGCTGAAAACCTCGGCCTTAAAACTTCTTCTCATAGCTCTTCGTTTTACTCTAATTTCTTCTCTGTACAAGCCGTACAACTATGGAACTTACTACCAGTCTCAATACGCAGCGCCCAGTCGTTAGTCACTTTCAAGAACCTTATTTTTGTCTTTCCATACTTTTTTTTTTATATAACTTAGAACGGCAAACAAGCTGACGGCTCACCTGATGGAAAGTGGTAACCGTCGCCTATAGACATGAGCAGTACCGTGGACATAACAGAGTATACTGTTTGGCCCATGATACCCCCCATGCGTTGCCATTCCTGAGGACTCAGGTGTTATTCCTCCGTACCCAGTAAATTCACGCCATATCCCACCCTTCAAACCGATACACAACCATGCAAACCCAACTGCTTCACGGTAGAAACACGAATGGGACAGAGGTACCCAAGCAATCGACTTTTGTACAAAGTCTCCCTCTGGTGTTTTATTATTGTTTGTAAAATAAAAATAAAATTGTATATATGATAAATATATATGTATATTTTTATATATGAATTATAATACAATATGTATCTATCTAAATGTAAGTTATGTACTATTGTGTACACATATACTATTATAAGTAGTTAGATGAAGGTATGCATATGATTATTCGCATATATTTTATTAACATGAGCTTTTTTTATTATTAGTTACACTTCTTGCGCCAATTAATTACCGTGTTTTCTTTTTTTTGTTAGGGTCTAATTTCCCCATTACTAGCAATATACCCTATCAGATCGACCTCCACGCGATTCCCCCTGAAGACTATCGTGGTTAATTCTAGTGAAATTCGTCACGATGAGGTAACTGACCCGCTTCATCCTCACCTATCATTCCTTACTGGTGCCCTTCCAGTGTACACCAATAACACTGGCGGTATAAACACTGCATTATCATCCATTTAAAAAAAACATTTTTTTTTATACAACTTAAAATGGCAAACAAGCTGACGGCCCACCTGATGGAAAGTGGTAACCGTCGCCTATACACATGAGCAGTACCATGGACATAACAGAGTTTACTATTTCATACATTTCGATTTCACCCCATGTTAAAGTGACGTAACTTGTTGCTTGCAGGTTGCGATCGACAATCTAAGACAGTTCCGCGGTTGTAATCGTAAAATTAAATTAGTGACTTAAAATGTAATCTTCGACTTAACTCGCAGTTCAAAACTTTAGTACATTTAACGGAAATATTAATTTACGACGCGTTAAATCAATTTTGTTTATGGTAACTCGTACCTAATTTATTGCGCTAATATTGTAATTTATGGGTAGGAAATGGAACAAAACTAGAACCATAGACAAAGAATAAGGTTTTTTTTTTTATATAACTTCCAGAGCAGGAGGAAAATAAATAAATATTTTTCTATAGCTACTGTATTGAATATCATAATTCTGAATAGATTTCCATATAAATGCGCATACATACATACACGATTTCGTATTCTAAATCCAAATATTCACTTTAATATGTCTACGAAACTGTGATAATTTTAACAAAATTTGGTTGTTTTTTGAATAAATTCTTTTGACACAAACTACAAGAGTACTAGCCGTGTAAGTCTCGGGCTTAGAATAGTCCTTTCCCGTAGGTATCGTAAAAGGCAACTAAGAGAGTTTATGGCGGAGGGATGGGCAGCAGCGTTCCTCTTAAAACATCACCAAAAGCTGTGGAAATTTCGTCTTAGGTTTAGTGAAATCACAAGTGATGGATCACCACTATTATTTTTAGGCTTTCATATTTAACAAAAATAAACATAATAACAATATAAATTCACTCTCAAGTACAGTGATGTAACTGGAACTTCTTCACGTTGGCAAATTTAAATGCGATCGTAAAAACACCATAAAACACCATGGCGAAACTAACTAACACTCAAGGGTATGTTGGTTATAAAATATTTTATTCTGTATATTACTTACGCATACAAAATTTTATTGTTTTTCGTGTGTAGGCACGAGTACAGGACAGACCACAGTATAAAGAGGTCTTCTCTACCAGTAGTCCAAAGCACCACTGGTTGTTCTTTACACTATAACGTCATTGTGTCATGTATATGACTTATCGTGTGATTGTATGTTCATATATGTCTTAATTATTTATTGTCACAATTTACTCCCAAATAAAGGAGTTCTTCAATTAATTTGCATTTTCTTTCTCCCCCTCCCCCACCGAAGCATAGCTATCTTTATTGCGATCTTAATTCCACTAAGTTTTTTAATCTACCTCATAGTTTTAAAAAACTTAGTCCGGCGTCTACTTAAACTTCGACAACCATGGATTTTTTCGCTTATACATATATAACGCTTTTTTATCCCATTTATACAGACTGCAATTTATTCATTTACAATTTTTTTTTTACAACACAGGGGCCAAACGAGCATGCGGCTCACCTGATGGTAAGTGAGTACCGCCACCCATGATCACCCATAACACCAGCGGCATTGCAGGTGTGCTGCCGGCCTTTTAAAAAGGAATATACTCTTTTCTTGAAGGTTATGTTGTCGTATCGGTTCGGAATTACTGCTGCTGGAAGTTGATTCCAAAGAATGGTTGTTTATTTTGTGGAATTTTACATTTACGACAAAATAAGTAGGCGTAATTATAGATAGATAGATATTCTTTATTGTTTCCTCGAAATGATTACAATAGTAAACTTATTATAAATATAAACAATTACAAAAAATAATCACAATGAGAAAACAATGGGCGACCTTATCACTAAAAGCGATCTCTTCCAGGCAAACTTTTGGATTGAGAGGAGTATGATTATAACCATCCATTTATATGTATTAAAATTGAGGGAGAATAAATATGTTACAAAGTGCGTAGACATAAACAAACACAACTGGGGGAAAGGGATTGTTAGTAATGGGGTCTAATAGCCCCATTGCTAGCAATACACCCTCTCAGGTCGACCTCCAAGCGGTTCCCCCCGGAAACCATCATGTTTAATTCTTGTCGAATTCATCATGGTGGGCCAACTGACCTGCATTCATTTTCACCTATCATCTTCCACTGGTGCCTCGTCGGTGTATACAGATAGCGCGGGCGGGGTTACCATTTCATTTTCACCCATTAAAAAAACAAACACAATTCTGAATAAAGGCACACATAATATGGTGAGATTAATTACTATCGTTTAAAGAAATTGAAATCGCCATGTGGTCTCCGCTTAAAATGGGCTATCCCTTCCTTTCCCGTGGGTGTTGTAAGAGGCGAGTAAGGGAACCTATTGGTCGAGGGATGAGCGGCAACGACCCTCTTAAAATATCACCAATATCATGGCAACTACTGGCAAACCTCTCCACTCCTCGTTTCCACGGCTAATGATATTGAAAAAAATTTACAGTCTGAGGTTTTTTACAAACTGGGTAGCTCATATAAAAATGAATTGTTTCTAATGGGTGTTGCTGTATACTACATATAGCAACGGGTTTTGTCTGAAATTCGTCTGATGAGTGCACAAAAACAATATAAATAAAATTGAAGCGATCAATCGATTCTCCGTGCATTTTCAATCCTTTTTTTTCTAACGGATCAAATAGAACCGTTGGCAATTTTTTTTATTAAATAGCATAACGCTTGGATGATAGCATATATCTACTACGTGTCCTTGCTTTCTAAAAAAAATATGTAATTTATAAAATTCGTAATTTTGTAATCTCAACTTACCTTCGTCAATACCGCTTTAATAGTCTTCTGCGTATACGCAGATGTATACAATATAGTGTGCACAGGTGCCTCAGTGGGGATGCCTAATGACGTCATCTTATACACTTATCACTAATAGTCTTATCAACTTTTTCGTTGTTGCTTTCACTACTTTTTAGATGCTTTTTATGGAAATTGCAATATTGCTCTTCTGTCCTTTCGACATCATGTCACGCTTATTTTCATATTTACAACGCCATTTAGTACTAAGGTGCGATACTATTTCTATATAATACAACATGATAATATAAACATATCAATCATATAAGAAAATCTTTCCTTTTCAATATATATTTATTATAGGTACTTAAATATTGTAAAACTGACTGACTAAACCCCCTATTAGGGAGTAATCTATGTTTAGAAGTGGACAGTTATTTTTTTTTATACAACTTAGAATGGCAAAGAAGCTGACGACCCACCTGATGGAAAGTGGTAATCGTCGCCTATAGACATTAGCAGTACTATGGACATAACAGAGTATAATGTTTCGCCCATTATAATATTCCCCATGCGTTGCCATTCCTGAGGACTCAGATGTTATTCCTCTGTACCGAGTAAATTCACGCCATATCCCACCCTTCAAACCGAAACACAGCCATGCAAACACAACTGCTTCACGGTTGAAACACGAATGGGACAGAGGTACCCAAGCAATCGACTTTTGTACAAAGTCTCCCTCTGGAAAAGTTAATGGCTGATATGATAATGATGATTGTAATAATATTGTAATCACTAGGGTATCTAGCTTAACGATCACAATATGTTTTATAAATAAAAAGCGATCAAGCCTTCCATGGGTAAATACAATTTTCAAAAAAAAATTGTAGTCTATATTGCTGATAATGTATTATAGCTTTCTATAGGTGAAACAATTTTCAAAATATATCGAGTAGTTTTTGAATTTATCCATTATTAACAAATAATCAAATCTTTCTTCTTTATAATATTAATATAGACGTATATACACCCTTAAAACTTATTCAGACATTTTAAAAATACAGTGAAGTTTTGCATTGTAGAATAAAGGGTAATATTAAACACCGACCACACAACAAAGGCCTCACCTTTGTTGTGTGGTCGGCGGATCAGTCAGCGAACAAAGGGGCGATAGCAGAAAATCAACGTTGCAAATACCAAATATAATATTAATTACGGCTACCAGTGACCCGGAAATTAATTTATACTCTGATTATATAATTAATTTATATATTTATATATATAGGCTATTGAATTTGCAAATAACTTTAAGACCGACCCCTAATTTTAAGGATGATAATTTAATATAAGAAATGGCAATATTGTGACAAAAACTATATTAGACGGTAGTAGTTCTTAATGTATGCAAGAATTAGCTTTTTGCCCGCTACTTAGTAGATGGGGATTTCAGAAAAAAAAAACAAATACAATGGGCCACTTTTAAATGTCGTAGCAAAATAAAGCATACACTAGTTTTTAAGTTAGACCTCAAGTCAAGGAACAGAACCCTTTTTTGCATTAATGTCAATGAAACGTCAAATGTGCTGTCAACGCCTCATCGGACTGACGGAAAAGAAAATGTGTGCCTATTAATAGAAAAAATGGAACCGAAAAAAAGAAACTTCCTTTACACCCATACCTGACTTAACTATAACGGCTACGTGGATTTACGATATATGATTTTTTTTTCATATTTTTAATTGTTTAGTATTAAAACAAAAGACTAGTGATTTGTTACTTCAGTCGAAAGACAAAGCAATTTTACGGATTAGAAGGCGCATGGCGTACCGACGCGACGCGACGTGACGAGAGATGTCAGTAGGCGTAAGTAATAAACTAATTTTTAACCAACTTAATACAGACGTTTCTTGGAAATATCGCACCAAAACGGTAACACAAACTAGTTACTTAATTATACACATTTCATACACTTTCTAAGAACTTTATTAATTTATACCCACTTTATTCAAAACTAAATATTTCACATCACATTGGCCGTTTGTTTTGAATTTGGAATATTTACTTTAATACCGTTATTACTCAATACTAATTAATTTATTTAAATTTGGAATGCGCATATTTTCAAAATACGAGCGCGACGCCATATATGTCTGTAACAACTAAATAGACATTTCGAGCCGAACGTTATCAAGAGAAGGAATATAACATTATTTACCCCATATAGATAATAGATAACAGAAATAAAACACACAAAGATTCACTCGTATTTACGTATATGTGAGAGTATTCACATTTCTATTTTATTTGAATCTATTATGTCTGTATAACTACCTATTATTAATATTGAAATACTATCTCTTCCAGACAGAAAAACATCTGTGACACTGCGACCTTTCCATGTCTTTTTTTTTGTGCTCGCCCTTTTTTAAAGTTCGCTGCTAAATCTTATCAATGATATCGTCATAGTCGTAGAATGCCGACGGATCTGACAAATATTACATATATATAGATCCGTTAGTATTCTACGACTATGGCGATATAAGTTTTAAAACGTTTTTTGTAGTGATGTTTCTTGTCTCCTCAAGATATAAAATGTGTTTTCCAAAGGAGATATATTGTTTATGTATGAGTGACCTACAGCCATAGATTAAGTGCTGTGGCGTTTCTTCTTCATTGTGACAAAATCTGCGAACACTTTTTTGGCATAAGCCTAGTTGTGTCATATGCATGTCTAGTTAGACATGTTAATTTATTATATATAGTTTTTTTTTTAATGGGTGATAATGAAATAGTAAACCCCACCCGCGCTATCGGTATACACCGGCGGGGCACCAGTGAAAGATGAAAGGTGAGGATGAAGCAGATCAGTAAGCCCATCGTGACGAATTCAACAAGAATTGTTCACGATGGTTTCCAGGGGGAACCACGTGGAGGTCGACCTGATAGAGTGTATTGCTAGCAATGGGTTCATTAGACCCCATTACTAACAATCCCTTTCCCCCCATTATATATAGATTATTTTTATATATAGATTATTTTTATTCAAAAGAATAAATTTCTTTATTATCTGAAAACACCTTGATCTATAATAACTACCTAGTGATTTACAATAAGATTCGTATAAATATAGATAATTATTTTAATAGATGCAAGTAATTTACAATTACGCTTAAACGAGATGTTTTATTTTGTACCCAGTCATTGAACAGTATCTCAAAGAACTGAGAAAAGTTTGTTTTTTTTGCAATTAGATTGACAGAAAAGCTTACAGTGCACCTGATAGAAAATGACAACTATCGCCTATAGACATGAACAGTACTATAGACATAATAGAGTAGACTGTTTCGCCCATGATATCATTGATGTGTTGCCATTTTGGAGGACTAAGTTTTTATTTCTCTGGACATCATCTGGATCTCTGGATACCATCTTTCAAATCGAAACACAGCCATGTAAACTCAATTACTTCACGGCAGAAACATGAACAGGACATAGGTATAGGTATATAGGTATAAGCAGACAACTTTTGTACAAAATCTTCTGGTAATTATTGGTAAAATGAAAAAAATCTTCCCATTAGTATCTTAGCACAAAAATGTTTTTGCGAATGAAGTGCGAAAAAAAACATATATCATTGCCGCACATGCAACACATTGCATAAATAGTAAAATAAGAAATTATATAAAGAACGTTATTTTAATTTCAATAAAAAGCATAATACACAAATCAAAACACTAACACTAACATTACAAATATTAATTAGTAAATGAAAACAATAAACTCAAGAAATCTGTCATTCTACAATGTCAGAAACAATGACATTGCTGTACCACTGTCTATGGTTTTGCGTTGCCAACTTTATGATCAATATGAAATTAATTTTGTTTGAAAACAAAACAAAAAAATAATATTGTTAAATTCCAATATGTTTAGTATTCAGTATAGTGTAAATTGTTTGGGCAAAAGCTGTTATAGCTTTTTACAGGATAGGATTGCGCGGTTACCTTGAGAATCAACCTGTTGAATTTTTATCGTTGGGCCCAATGACCCATTTCGAGCAGAAAGTGTTTTAAAAATTAAATAAATAAAATCGAGCAAACAAAACCAAACAACTAGTGAGTATTACGAGTATTATACATTTATTTGTAAGTTTCTTCATAAAACGTCAAAAATTTATCCGCAAAATAGGTACTTACGTATTCAATAACAGAATAGAATTTCTGTAATGAATTGTATTGAAATCTCCCAGCCTCCCAATTGAATATTAAGGATTACCACAATGATCCAATTATTACTATAAAAGAAGGCAAATTAAATTTAAACATTACTTAAGAGTACTATTAGAAAATGGCGTCGTGTAAGTTTAGCATATGAGTACATGCATTGAATTGTGTATTGACTCCGTCAGTTGTAAATAGATTTGGAAAATTCTTTTTATATTTCAAAGGTAATGCTTACAAATTGGTCTCATAGAAATTCTATCAAAATCGGTTTAGTAGTTTAGTTTTAAATTAAAATAGCTGGTTTTTCCACAAATTAAGTAGTTTTTTTTTTTTTGTGGAATACAATTTAATTTGAATTATGTAAATATCTTGTTGTATTTATGAGAAAATTTTTAGCGACCTCGGCATTTGCTGGGTTCGATTAAAATCAATTTGCTTAGGTATTTGGTTTGAAAAATAAAAAATAATCAATAAACGGTATAGGAAAATTGAATGCAATCAATACATAATAATGAGCAAAGTAAAAATTTAAAACGTTGTCTTCATGATAGGCAACTTGTCTATGTAATTCGGGAATTATAATATACACAAACACGCACACACGCACGCACGCCCACCCGTTCGCCCGAGCACGCCTGCACGCACGTATTCAAGCACGCACGAACGCACGCACGTATTCAAGCACGCACGAACGCACGCACGCACTCACGCACATACGCATACACACAAGCACTCACGCACGCTCGTACGCACACTCGCTCGCTCGCTCGCCCACTCGCACGCACGCACACATGCACGTACGCACGCACGCACGCATACACACATACAAACAAAATTTATACACAAAATTTTTATACTCTGCAAGTTCTTATAAAGGGTTTTGGTACTGATCGTCAAGTTTACATGGTTGTTTCTATTATGGCAGCCATAACACTTTAGTTCTCTGGTATGGCATCGCATAAGGGGTCCCATGTGTGTCTCAGTGCGTAATGTCTATAGTGCTGCTCATGCCGTAGCTTACTATTTTCCTTTATATATTACACTCTTCTAACTACATACACTCTTGTTGATTTTTAAAAACACCTACGTACATACTTTCACTCACACACGCACTCATACGCACACGTACACACATATATACACGCATACACGCACCCAATCACACTCACGCACGCATGTACGCACGCACACACACACGCTTACACACGCACTCACTAATACACACAACCTTATTTTTCACTCACACATACTGGTTCATTCCAGTAGCATAAAGATTCTACTAATTCATTTATATACTCGTATGCTTTTACCTTAACAAATCAAGTAAAATAGATGTCCTTGAGTTGGGGTCTGGTGACCTGTAAGACAGGGTCCTAGTACCGACACTATTCTCTCACAAAGATTGTTTTGGATTGTAACCTATGTAGCTGTTAGTTTTATTATGTTGTTATTTTGGGAGAGAAATAAATAAATTAGGTTAGACATCAGCCTATTCGGAATATCAAGTTGTGTAGTTATTAGTCCTTACTAAAATTTTAAATGTGTAAGGAAGTTTGTTTGCTACTTCTTGACGTAATGTTTCAATCAATCCTTATGAAATTTTGTTTATACGTATTCATTCATGTTAATCAATTTATGGATTGTTAACCTGAATTTATTAGACGAAGTAGTAGACAAAAAGTAATTTCTTGTTATGATACTTAGAAAGGCAAACTACGAGTATTTGACAGCCCACTTGATGGACAGTGGTAACCGTTAATGATGGGTGAAAATGAAAACAGATCAGTTAGTCCCTCGTGACGAATTTCACAACGATTAACCATGATGCTTTCCAAGAAAATCCGCGTGGAGGTCAATCTGATAGAGTAAATTGCTAGTAATGGGGCTTTTAGACTATTACTACCAATCTCTCCCCCCATCGGTATGGTAACCGTCACCTATAATCATGAATACCACCAAAAATAACACCATACAGTGTGATCCCCACAGTACCTTTTATGGGCTGCCATTTCTAAGGACAACGGTCCTATGTCTCCGTTCCCTGTAATTTCATTTGAATATCTCCAATCGTCAAACCGAAATATAGCAAAGCGCAGCTGCGTCATGGAAGAAATAGGAGTGGAACAGAGGTACCTATGCCTAACACCGCCTGTGTTTGTACAAAGTCTCCCTCTGGTAGTAAAAAAAATATTTTTGTATTGTATTGTATCAATCGATAACGGTCCACTGTTGAACATAATCCCCCTCATAAGGGAGGTTTGCTAGTAGCTGCTACGCTTGGCAGACGGGTTGGCAACCGCAGTTTGGTAGGGGGGAAAGGGATTGTTAGTAATGGAGACTGAGAATCCCATTGCGGTTCTCCCTGGAAACTATCATGGTTAATTCCTGATGAATTCATTTTATTTCATTATGATGGGCTAACTGGCCTGTTTTCATTCTCATCTATCACCCTTCACTGGTGCTCCGCCAGCGTATCCCGTTAGCGCAGGCGGGCTCACCATACCATTTTCACCCATAAAAAAAACCGCAGTTTGGTTTTTGTTGAGGTTTTAAGAAAGACACTGCTGCCCATCCCTCGACCATAAGTCTCTTAGTCGCCTCTTACGACACGAAGTAAAAATGAAGGGGTGACCTACGCCGAGACTTACACAGTTATATAAAAAATACATACTTCGAATGAAATGCTTATAACCTTGACCTGTCTTCCATTGTGGTGAGGTATTATGTTATAATATCCTTAGAGCCGCCTTCCTTTCGTGTCTGACCTTTGGAACATTTAGGTAAGTAATTACGCGATTAAGCTTTCTAACTTTGCTACTTTAGAATTGGTTTTTAAAATGCCTTAAGGTTTAGGCAGCGTTTAATTATTTTAATGGAGATGGTATTTTTATTAGAATTGCAATTATTTATAATATATTTGTATTTATGCCTGAAGTTACTATAGAAATTTTGCCGTGTG